AACCCAGAAAAAAGAGATGATCACACCAGATAGATTAGCAAAACAATGTCAACTTCTGCCCAAAATGCACAGTTCTGCAGGTACACCAGGAGAGCAAGCAGTGGCCTTTAAACACCCTGAGAACATTTTCCGTGGGAACAAAGCCCTAACTGGTTGGCTCAAAAACAGTCCCAAGGAAGAAGCATAAGCACTAGGTCTCAGCCCTCCCCAGAAACAAGCGCCTGAGCCTTCCCTGTGGGAACAAGAATGAGTGAGATGGACAGAGGGCTCACCTCTCTCAAGCCCATCGATGTTCTGCGTGTAGAGCCGCAGAAGCAGCCCCTTGTCATGAAGCAGCCGGAGGAAGTAGTGAGTGACATTGGGCTTGTAGTTTCCAGGGTACAGCTCCTTGGCTAAAGTGAAAAAGGGCTTGGGGTTGTAGAAGAAAAATGGAAGCTCAAAAATGGCTTCGGGGTACGGGAGATTGTACTGCTGGAGGTTGCTGTACAGCCCACTCCCCGGAGATCTGCAGAGAGAGAAGGAAGAGGCTCTGGGGACTTTGGAAGAGGGCAGGAAAGTGGAATAAATCGGGCAGTGGAGAGGGCAGGAGGCAGGTGGGACTGCAGACAGTACCTGAAGTCTGGAATGCCACTGGGTGTGCTGATGCCGGCCCCCACCATGACCACCACCCTCTGGCAGGCTCTGGCCCGAATCAGCTCAGCCACATCCTGCAGAGAAAGCTTCCCCTTGTCATTGCTGCCTCCACTTCCAACACTTGAAGCACCCACAGAAAAAGATATGGGTCTTCTTCCACCTTTAATACTGGCAGAAAAAAACAAAGCAGCAAAAGAAAGAGATAGCAGCCAATCTCAGGATAGCAAGAATGAGCATGATTCTACCCTTTGCACCAACCCCACCATTGAGATTGACCATACATGTCTCTCCAGACCTCCCAAAATAACCAGATTTTTCAGCTGACTATTGGGCTACAATGGAAAGCAGTCATAAATCAGAAATCAAGACTTATTTGGGAGCAAAAAATTCAGGTTAATGGAAACTGTGCTCATTTCATAATTCAGTACACTCAGTGGGTACTCAATTCTCTGAGTCCAAACCTCCAAAGGGGTTTTCTAATGAAAATTGGTCAAGTTGTCAAGAGGGAAAGCTCTGGCTCTAAAACCATCCCACCACCTGTTAAACGCCCACTTCACACAGCATGTCAGACATTATTTGCTTAAGGTCGTCCCCAAACCGCTACTGTGCTGCTACTACACATGAACCGTTAGGAGAATCACAAAAGGAATGAAAGTTACTATTGCTGCTGAGTGCCTGCTGACGGCAAGGTATCACAAAGGGTGCCTGAAAGACGTTCCTCACCTACATAACCACAATGTTCGTGAGTGACCGAAGAACACATAAATGGAGTTTTCAAATGTCTGGAACATCATTAAGATGTATGGCTTAAAGTCTATACTGCATGGTGTGAAATTCACTGGGAGTAGAGGGGACTCTGAGGGGCAGCCATGGGTGCGACCTGGGAAGGACACTGTGCAAAGGACACAAAGGACAAATTCAGAGATCTCAAAAATCTAAAGCCAAAGGGCAGATTCCAAACTGCAGAAAGCCCATGCAACGGACTCCTCCTCACAGGCAGCCCTATGCCTCCTGCTTTAGGGCCAGTGGTAGGGAGGACTGATACTAGAATGTGCTCCACGCATTTGCCTGTCCTGGTCCCTGCCCTATCTACAGTACCTAGAACAGAGTCTGGCACAGAATAAGAGCTCAGTGAGGGCTTCTTGGATGAATCGCAGACTCTTCAGGATCTTTCTTTCTTTTTTCTTTTGAGACACAGTTTCACTCTTTAGCCCAGGCTGGAGTGCAGTGTCAAGAGATCTCGGCTCACTGCAACCTCCGCCTTTCGGTTTCAAGCGATTGTCCTGCTCACAGCCTCCCCAGTAGCTGGGATTACAGGCACCCGCCACCACGCCTGGCTAATTTTTGTATTTTTAGCAGAGACAGGGTTTCACCATGTTGGCCAGGCTGCTCTTGCACTCCTGAACTCAGGTGATCCAAACGCCTCTGCCTCCCAAAATGCTGGGATAACAGGCATGAGCCACTGCACCCAGCAGACTCTTCAGGATTTTTCTATTAAAGTTTTTTTTTTTTTTTTCCAGGTAGATACGGTCTTGCTGTCACCCAGGCTGCAGTGCAGTGAGCATTCAATCATAGCTCACTGCAGCCTTGAACTCCTGGACTCAAGGGATCCTCTTGCCTTAGTCTTGGGAGTAACTGGGGCTACAGGCTTGCACCACCATGCCTGGCTAATTTTTAACTGTTTTGTATGGATGGGGGTCTCGTTATGTTGCCCAGGCTGGTCTTGAACTCCTGGTCCCAAGCAATCCTCCTGTCTCAGCCTCCAAAAGTGCTGGCATTACAAGTGTGAGCCACCACTTCGGGCCTCACTCTTCATCAATACTTTCAGTAGCTGTGTCAGACAGCATCAAGCGAATGAATGTACTATTATCTACTTAAATATTCATCCATTATAGGGCATTTGATACCTAACAACCATGGACCTTAAGATTTCTTCGTATGCAGGCTCAGTTCCCAGATGCAATTACTATGGAGACAGGTATGATCACACACCTGTGGGAGTATTAATCGCACAACATTTATGAGGGATAAAGTGTTAAATGCATATACTCTTGGACCTAGCAGTCCCAGTACTCGGAATTTATGCAAAAAGTGAGGTGCAAACAAAGTCATTAGCCACAGCATTACGTACAATAACTAAAGAAACTCTAGGAAGTATTTCAATGAGGGAATGGTGAAATAAACGACAAAACTCCCACAAGGGACGTCCACCGACCAGCATAAAGACGGGGGCCCCGGGTGCTGGAACGGAAGCAACACGCCGCAAAGGAAACACGGCAAGGTGAGAAAGGAGGGCGAGGTGTCGACAACGAACACGCAAGAAGTGCTTGTCCTCGCCCAAAATACCTCGAAAAGGAGAAGCAGGGAGCCGCTGCCCTCGGCCGCCTCCGGAATGCCCCGGGCACCGCGGGTCTGGGAGGCCTCTGCAAAGGGTGCGCCGGACCCAGGGGCTCACCGTGGACCCCACGGCTGCCTCCCGGCCCCGCACTGACACCGTCTCTGCCGCCAAGCACCAGCCGACAGCCGCAGGCCTGGAACGGCCCCATGCCTCCCCTGGCTTCGGCCCGTACAGCTACGGAGCCCCACAGCCAGGGGGCGGCCGCGCTGCGCCAACCGCACAGCGCCATGTTCCCGGCAGCCCTAAGAGTCCTGCGGGCTCGCCCCGCCCCGGCCCCGCCCCGGCCCCGGCCCCGGCCCCGCCCCGGCCCCGCCCCCGCGTTCACGCCCCGCCCCGGACCCGCCCCCGCGTTCACGCCACGCCCCCGCCTCCGCGTCCACGCCCCGGCCCCGCCTCCGCGCCACGCCCCCGGCGCGTTCGGGTAAACGTAGAGCACGAGTGGAGGCGGTTCCCTAGTCTGGTGTCTGACCCCTCGCCCCGGAGGTCAAAACGGGAGCCAGCATTTCTGAACTCTGCGCTCACACCTTTTTCAGCCCGGATGGTGGTGACAGTTGATACTTCCTGAGCGCTTTTACCACAGCCAGGCATTATATTTACACCTAGTCCTTGCAAGACACCACTGGCAAGGTCCTCATTTGAGAGGAGCAATTCCGGGTCACAAAGGCTGACGCCGCAAAGCTTTGTGGCCGGTGCGACCAGAGGCGCCCATACTCTTTAACGCCTCAGTGACACGGCGAGGTGCGCGGGGAGTGGATTGCAAACGCGGCAGAGAGGTGTGTCCCGAGCGTAGGGACGCGCGGTGACCCGGCAACCGGCGGACCCCGCCCTCGGCCGACCACGGCGCTCCCAGCCTGCCCCGCGTCGCGCGGCGCCGGAAGTGAGTGAGCATTTCCGGCAGCCATCCCTGTGGTGCTGACATCCCGGCTGTTCTGTCCCGGGGGTCTTGCTGCTGTCATGAAGGACGTACCGGGGTTCCTGCAGCAGAGCCAGAGCTCCGGGCCTGGGCAGCCCGCTGTGTGGCATCGTCTGGAGGAGCTCTACACGAAGAAGTGAGCGCCGGGCAGACGGGCCCCGGGCCCCGGGCCCCGGCGCTAGAGCGAGACGGAGGGAGGGGCGGGCGGAGGAGCGGGCCCTTGGTGGGCTGAGGGCGCTCAGAGCCGGGCTGGGGGCGGCGGGGACGGGTGAGGGCGCTCAGAGCCGGGCTGGGGGAGGCGGGGACGAGGGAGGGCCAGCTGTGCCGGCGAGTCTGCTGCGGAACCCCGAGGGGCAGGGTCGAGGAGTGAGAGGGATGACAGACCACGAGGGCGAAGAGCTGTAGCCAGGGTGTTTATTCGGGTCTGAGATTCACTGCTTCCTTAACGAAGGCCCGGGACGGAGGCTTCTGAACTCCTCTACCTTGGGTCTTACTGAAACGGTTCAGGGGTGGCCTTTGATGTTAGCTCTTGATTCCAGTGAAACAAGCAAACACGCTTTGAGGGCCAGGTTGCCACCCACTTTGGGAAACAGATCTTGGTGATTCATACTTGGGCTTGTCATAGTGTGACTGTATCTGCAGTTATCTTCCTCATGGTCTGGAACTGATGGCCAGAGGCTAGTGCAGCTTTGCTGTCTTCCCTATTCATTCTGCAGCTGTGCAACCACTTACCCCCTCCCATTGTCCCCACTAGGCTTTGTGCCCCCAGAAAGGTATTAAAGTTTAGGTTTGTTTAGAAACAGGATGAATTGCACAAAAATTGTTACTAAGCACTAACCTCATTTTAAAATGAATAGACTAAGTTGCTGGCATCGGGCTGGAGCTACTCCATGGAAAATGGTGATAACCTCCCTGTTAACAACCCTAGCATTTAATATAATACGTTTCACGTCGATGTTGCATACATGCTTTGATGATGTTTAGCATTCAGCAGCCTTCTGCTGTTCGTTTTTGAGAGCAAATTAGTGTTTGTCAAATAATGATTTGTGTTAGACAGCACTTGGTAATTTTCAAAGCATTTTATCTGCGTTATTAAATACTTGCCTTTGGGTTTTGGGGAAGCGCTATTTCACTGTCCTGGAGGTTTTATATATTAGCTTATTTAATCTTTCATTCATCCTTTTCACAGATGAGGAAACTGAAGCTCATTTTAATTGCTTTCCCTAGCTAATAGGTAGAAGAGCCAGAATCTCAGGTTAGATATGTATGATTCCAAAGTTCTTGTTTCCAGTCAAACCTCCCAATAATTCTTGGAGGTAATGTAGAACAATGTTCTCCATTTCATACCTGGGGAAACTGAGTCTTAGAGAAGTTGAGAGATCTCAAAGTGACACAACCACTGGGTAGCAGAGGCAGGAAAAGAACTCGGGTCTGTCACATCTGCTTTAGCATTCTTTACACAGTAGAGGCTGGATGGCATGGATTTAGCATCCGTTATCAGAAATGCACTGGGGCAGCCAGACGGGTGGCTCATGCCTGAAATCCCAGCTACTCGGGACACTGAGGCAGAAGAATCGTTTGAATCTGGGAGACGGAGGTTGCAGTGAGCTGAGATGGCACCACTGCACTCAAGCCTGGGCACCAGAGCAAGACTCCGTCTCAAAAAAAAAAAAAAGAGAGAGAGATGAAACGAATTGGGGCAAAAGATTTTTGGGTTTAGTATTTTTTCGAATTTTGGAATGTTTGTGATATAAACTTACCTGTTCAGTACCCGTAATTCAGAAATCTGAAATACTCCAGTGGTCATTTCATTTGAGCCTTATGTTGCTGATCAAAAAGTTTTGGATTTTGGAGCATTTCAGATTTAAAGTTTCGGATTAGAGATACCCAACCTGTATTTGTGACTTGATAAGACCGTCAAGGCTGAAGGTGTCTGTGACTGGTATTAGTTTAGAGGTCTTCAGTGCTGTATGTTTTTCAGGTTGTGGCATCAGCTGACACTTCAGGTGCTTGATTTTGTGCAAGATCCGTGCTTTGCCCAAGGAGATGGTCTCATTAAGGTAAATAATTGGCCATGCCACATCAGATTATACGAATGTGCTAAAGGACTTTTTAAAATAAGATCGGCTTTATGCTGGTAATAGTAGTAAGCTACAACTTCAGCAGCCACTTCATGTCAGGTACTGGTCTGAGTGCTTCACATAGCCTTCATAACAACATTGGCCAATAAATACTACTTTTATCTCACTTTTTTGATGTGGAAGCAAACATAAAACTTTAATAACTTACCATGGGTCACTGCTGATAAGTGGCAGAAGAGGATTCAAATGCTGACATTCTGGCGTTTTCTAAAATTCTAGCATGAAGTGCTATCTTACAGCACACCTGAGTATCTTATTGTTCGTAGGCTTCTTTTAGTACTCTACTTTCAGTAGAAAGTTCAGACCCAGTTGGAGGGTGGGGTAAGGTATGAGGAAGATTTCTGTCTGTAGGAATCTTAGACCCCTTCCTTCAGCCACAGGCTGCTTGCTTGTCCAGACACTGTCCTGGGTAGTGTGGCAGATGAAGCACCTTTTCTACTTGGGTTGAGGGTAGGTGGCTTAGAGGGAGAGCCCTACTTTTAGAATTTTTTCAACAGGAAAAATATATGTACACTTTTCTTTCCAGCCTTCCCCAGATCCCCTAACACATCCCCACAAATTTGCTCACTGATAGCCTCCTCTTGGAAGCTTTTCCTTACATCTTGCTCTGTGATGCCTTTCTCTGATTCTGAATGAATCAGATTCATATCAGCGTCGTAACTGATAGCTAGCTTATAATTACATCTTGAGTTATTTCTCCTGAATACATTACTTTTATATGCTGACCATAGAGCTTACCACCTTACTACCCCACCACCTGGGCTTATAAGATTTTCTTGTGGTTTATAGCCATCAATTTCACATTTTACTACTCAAAGGAACTTAAAACCATCTTTAAACCTGGAGATTTTGCTGAATATTCTATCTTTCAGATTACGTGGGAAAATGATAAATAAGACTTGTCTTTTTGGGTTTTGTTTTGTTTTGAGACGGAGTTTTGCTCTTGTCGTCCAGGCTGGAGTGCAGTGGCACAATCTTGGCTCACTGCACCCTCCACCTGCCAAGTTCAAGCAACTCTTCTGCCTCAGCCTTCAAGTAGCTGGGATTACAGGCGCCCACCAACACATCCGGCTAGTTTTTGTATTTCTTAGTAGAGACGGGGTTTCGCCAGTGTTGGCCAGGCTAGTCTCAAACTCCCAAACTCGGGTGATCCACCCGCCACAGCCTCCCAAAGTGCTGGGATTATAGGCGTGAGCCACGGCGCCCGGTCTGAGACCTATTTTAATACTTGTTTCCTAAGGTTCTAAATTGTCATGATAGATAATTCATAATTGTTTATCTCTGTCCTTTGCTTTCTTATGTTTAAATCACTTTTCTACACATGGCAAAAACATTTCCTAAACCTCACAGTAAGGTGATGTTTATTTAGGTTGGCAGATTTGAGTTTACTTTTCCCATGGACAAAATAAACCTTTAAAAAATTTTTGGGATCCAGCCAACACAAGTGTAAAATGGATAGTATTTATGAATTTGTAATCACCAGGAATAATTTTGACTTTCTGGACTTAGTGGGCTTCTTTTTTAAGGTAATTTTTTTTGACATCTATTAGATTAATAGATGTCAGGAAAATTCAAACATTTCCTTCTAATAAGGAAGATATCTTTGAAATAGTCACTTGTAGTAAAAATGCCATTTTATTTATTTGTTTGTTTATTTTTGAGATGGAGTTTTGCTCTTGTTGCCCAGGCTGGAGAGCAGTGGCACAGTCTTGGCTCACTGCAACCTCCACCTCCCAGGTTCAAATGATTCTCCTGCCTCAGCCTCCACATTAGCTGGGATTACAGGCACCCGCCACCATGCCTGGCTAATTTTTGAATTTTTGGTAGAGACGGGGTTTCACCATGTTGACCAGGCTGGTCTCAAATTCCTAACCTCAGGTGAGCCACCCACCTTGGCTTCCCAAAGTGCTGGGATTACAGGCCTGAGCCACTGCCCGGCCGCGATTTAATTTATTTTTGGGGACAGGGGCATAGAGTCTCACTCTGTTGCCTAGACCGGAGTGCGATGGTGGATCTCAGCTCACTGCAACCTTCGTCTCCTGAGTTCAAGCCATTCTCATGCCTCAGCCTCCCAAGTAGCTGGGATTACAGGTATGTGCCACCATGCCTGGCTAATTTTTGTAGTTTTAGCAGAGATGGGTTTCGCCATGTTGGCCAGGCTGGTCTCGAACTCCTGTCCTCAAGTGATCCAGCCACTTCGGCCTCCCAAAGTGCTGGGTTACAGATGTGAG